GGATATGAAGTCTTCTTAGATTCCAGTTAAGGTCTAAATCCCAGCGATAAATCTTGACTAGTGATGAAATGTAGCTGATTTATCATCCTATTGCTGATCAATATGTGCACATATGTGTGCTTTCACACTCCACTGCCTCTTCATTTATCTGTGAACCTCAGTGGTATTTTTTTTTCTACCTGACAGTTTCATCGCATCTTTTAAGCAAGTAGTCCATGGTGTTTTATAAACAAGGTAATGAATTAATTGTCCCGGCATTTTTATGTGACAGACAAGATGTACCAATACCTTGTGTCCATCTTTAATGAAAACTAAACTATGGAAAGAAATTTGCAATTTTTTTTGATCACATAGTAAGTTAACAAAACAGCTAAATCCAGAATTTAGGACTCCTGACTATTTGTTCTGTGGTCTCGGTTACTTTTTACCATGTATAATGAAGAACAAACTACTACGTTTTGGGGCAGAAGGAAGTGCAATTGTTTATTTTTTAAAGGAAAATTTTAAAAAAGCAGAAACTTTGAAGCACTGCTGGCAGTACTATTGTCAGATTAATTGCACTAAATAGGATCTGAATTTTATTAGTTCCCACATAGATGTAATTACCTATTTGCAGTATTGCAGGATGTCCCAGTGCAGCTGGTTATGGTGCGATATAGAATATTGTTGTCTAATATACACTTGGTAAAAGAGATAAAGACATTTATTCTGAATTAGTTAGGCATACTAGTATTATGTTTTGCTGTCCTTGGTTATACTTTGAGACTTCTGGCTATTGCACTGTGGTAACAACATGCCTTTCATTCAGTATGCTACATGCACAGTATGTTGGTCACTGCACAGTGCTGCAGAAGTTAAGGCAACTTGCAGTAGCACTCATTTCAGCTGCACAGTTTCTGCTCCCATTGGATGTGATGATAGTGTCATCACCCTGCTGTGCTTCATTCTGTAGAGTTTGTAATGAATTTCCTGCCTGTCTGGAAGATTGCCTACTCCTTCCTCATGGCCTTCTTTCTCACCTCCTTTCACTCTTCTCAGGGTCCTTTCAGAAGCAAGCACAGCACATATTTGTCATTTCTCAGACAAATGTAAATAAGCATTTTATTCTTCCACCATCCCTCTCTCTCTTTATCTCTCTTCCTTCATCTCTCTTTTCTCCTCCCATCCATGGTGGAAGACAAGTAATCGACTAGCCAAGAATTAGTAGCTGTTATCCCAGAGCCTGGAGTTGAGCCCACTAAGTCGAGGGAAAGGAGTGTAATCTTACCTGAGTCTGTGTGTGGGCCTGTTGCTGAAAGCCTTCCAAGTATTGCTTTTCTCACTACATAGACAGTAGAGGAAAAAAAAAAAAGTGTTGGTGTGTTGCAGCTGATTGTCTCCTAGTTGTTGGAAATTTGTTAATTTTATTCTGAGTGTTCAATTACATTTGTAGTACAGCAAGTACAGAACTACCTCTCCTGATGGCTCAGACATTGTGGCAGCATTCCTGAAAGTCTACCCCGCAGTTCTGTAAGAGTAGATTGGACTTTAAGTGGTGAATTTCTTTTCATTTGCCTTCATCAAGCACACTGCTTAATTCAGGATGCTAAACTGAGATCTTCGTGTGGCCAGCAGCATGACCCTGCTTGGGATGCATTTAATAAGGGAAGAATACTTTCCATAAGATTATATAGTTTTGTCCAGATATCAAAATCTCTCAGGACCTCAGAAAAATCGCTACAGTCCAGAACCTATTTTCAAAAGCAGAAGCTAACATTCTGCTTCAAACAGCAGAGACCTGAGAAATGCTGACCAGGGTTCAGAGAGGTAGAGCACTTGCAGCTTAGAGTAATTTCTCCTTGTGAGATCCAAGTCCAGCTGTTTCAAGTCAGATAGCCAAGAGTCAAAGTTTCCACCATTCATTATGAAAAGCTGGGATTTAACCAGTGGAGAGCTTTGAAAAATTTCAGCAAGCATGTTTGCAGATTTAAGTGCCTGAATGCCTTTTTGAGTATTTGAACCTGATTTATTTGCATATACATCATATATACACTTTCTCTTTGTGTAATCCACTCTCATGCTGTTTTTTCCAGTCCGTTCTTTGTGTAGTTGGTTAAAATGCTTCTGTTGAATCCTTTCAGCAGTGGAGTTGGTGGAAAGTTGTCTAACCTTTCTTCCCTCCTTCACTTCCTCAGACTCTATAAGTAGAATTTCTCTCTGTATTCTGCCTACTAACCTCATGAATTTTCCCCCCATTTCAGACTTTTGACATGAAATAATTGATGTATTCTGAGAGAGAAAGTTTATTTACTTTCCTCCTTTTTTTTATAGTTTTTTGTATTTTTCATTCAGGCTTAGCCCTACGTGCTTAGGCATAGCCTTAGCTCCATCTGCACACCTACCCTGCACATCAGGTCACTGACCCCTTAGGAATGCTGAGCAATTACTGGGATCTTTGTGCAGCTTCAATGAAAATTTCCAGTCCTGTCCTTAGTTTGCCAGACATGAACAGGTTAGAAAGAGGTCTGCTTTTTCACTGAAGGCTTATTTCCCGTATCTAATACATACTGACTTATTTGCACGATGACTTACTTGCACAATGAAATGACTTTTGGAACCAGAAGCACTGTTTTTGGCCTTCCTATCTTCCTGATATTTTGGACTTCTGCGGGAACAGACCATCTGCATCTCTAATGCTGCTCTTTTAACTTGGCTGCTATGGAAGTTCCCAGAGGTCAGTTTGGTTCAGTGAATGAAAATATAAACAGAAACCTGTAGGAACTGCATTTAAAATTCCGACGCATATAAAATTTTACATGTAAAAGAAGACGGTTGGATATAAACAAAGGTAGCTTTACACACAGGAGTTGTTGATTTCGAGTTTGAATTTTATATAGTGGTTAGAACTGAAATAGGAACTGGTGAAGTAAAACAGTGCTGATGACAGCTGTGTTTTGATATGCATGAGAGCGTCTCCTTGAATTATAAAGTGGGGTATTGCTGTGCCATGTAAAGCTACCATTGGCAGAACAAATTACACAAAGCTGAGACTGAAGAGTTATAGCTGACAGAAGCAATAATGTGATGGAGTCTTTGCAAACTGGAAAAGAGTTTGTTTTTCTGATGTTCGCGCCATTAAACAGAAGACAGCGTAAAAACACTGCTATATAGTAAGGTTATAAAACATCTACTTCTCAATAGATTATGGAGCAAACATGCAGTTTAGTGTAGAAAGGCAAAAATAAAAATGTAGAAAATTTATTATGAAGTGCCCTACACGTATTAAGGCCAGTGCATTAGAAATCACTGGTTGATTTTTTACCAATACTGTTCATACACAAATCATTACCACTACTTGTTGTGTTCTGGGTTTGCTGTCTGCACATGCTTCTTACTAATATTACTTGCTGATTTTTATGTGCTTGGAAAGGATTGTGGGAAATGTGCTTGCTTATTAAGAAGCTGAGCCAAATATCTCTAACTTTTCAAATGAGAGCTGTGCTGTTCTGAGGCCCTTGCAGGACCTCAGTTGCATCTGCTGCCTTCAGACAAAGCTGGTGCAGCCCAAGAGCTGTGCAGTCGTTTGCTTGATTAAATGTGCCATCTAGTGGCTAGCGGTTGATAGTTAATTTAGAAAAGAAAACATAAAGCCAATGGACTTTTTAATGCATTTTTACACCAGCAGGGAAAATGGTTGGAGGGTGACAAATCCTTATATTGCCTTCTTTTTCTCCCCCCAGTTAACAGGCATTCATAGATCATTATTTATTTCCAAAAATATCATTGTTTCTACTGTTGTCCACCCTCTGTTCTCAGGCTGTTTGCTGAGGTCCAGATTGAAATCATCTGCTATGGCAAAGTCTTTGGGCTAATTAGAATTGGAATAGTTACCACTGTATTCACAAAGCTTCAGAAGTCATGTTGCAATATCCCTGTTACTGCCTGTATCTGAAATGTTGTTTCTCAAAAACTTAGCTCAAATGTCTAGAACTGCTGGGATTTCATAGAATCACAGAATGGTTTGGGTCAGAAAGGACTTCTAGAGATCATCTAGTTCCACCCCCCTCGCCACAGACAGAGACACCTTCCACTAGATCAGGTTGCTCAGGGCCTTGGCCAACCTGGCCTTGAATGTTTACAGGGATAAGGCATCTACCACCTCTCTGGGCAACCTGTTCCAGTGTTTCACCTCTAGATCCCTGCTCTCGTTTTGAAACTATTACCCCTTGTCCAGTTGCAACAGGCCCTATTAAAAAGCTTGTCTTATAAGCATCCTTTAAGTATCGAAAGGCCACAGGAAGGTCTCTCACGCCTTGCTGCCTGCATGTATCCCGGTTGTCCACCTGTCCTTTACGTTACTGTTAAACCTCACTCTTGCTTGTACCTAGGTGGTTTGAAAATCGGATTTTGCGCAAAAAAAGCTCACCATATCTATCCAATACTTCAGTGGTTAGTGCATGTACCGAGGATTCAGCCCCTCTACTAGTTGATTATTTTGACTTTGTATTCTTGTTGGCGCTGAGGTTTCCTCTGCTTATGATGGGATATTCAGCCAAAGCTCCCCCATTCTTAGAAAATCCTGCAGAAGGCTGAATCCTGACACACATGTGCCACTGTTTCATATGCCGCTGAAGTCTCACTTTAATTGAACAACAGTCTCAGCTGTTTTCAGTTCCACACAGCACATCACTCAAATTGCTGATACCAAGAGGGCAAAGACATCCATAGCTATGTACACTGAAACAAACCCACTGGCTCTGAGGCTGGGTTTGGGAGAGAGGGCTTCAGATGGGAGCACTCTGAGGATCTTTGTGATGTTTGTTAAATTAAATTAAACACTGAAAGCAACATTTTTATGTTGTTTCTTTCTGGAGACACCCATGGGATTCAGTCTGAGTCACTCTGAGAACAATCTGTGAGGATGCCATCTAATCAAGTACTTATCTTGATTTTAAAAGGGCTTCTTTTAGATTGTTGGCTTAAGGAAAGTGTTATTATTTTTCTGTCCCTTTCTATTCTAGGATATTAAACACAACGTTGTTTGAACTATATGAAGCTTTGGGCAATTTTCCTGCCTTGTGGGTCTTCAACATGCTGCTTGTGATTCTTCAAATTCTGCACTGTTTTTGGTCTTACCTAATCATAAAGGCAGCCTACAAAGCTATATCAAAGGGCAAGGTAAGACAGCATGCTTCTGTTTCACGTTTAAGATTTTAACTTTTTCAATACCAGTACAGGATCAATCACTTCGATTACTTTTTCTTTCTAATCCATAACACATTGCTGAAGACACACTGTTTTATGTGAACTCTTCTTTCTTTTCATGGTAACTTTATTCCAGTCCTTCTACCAAGATTATACTCTTTCTAGTGATTGTATTTTATGTGCTTCCACACTTCTCTTTTATAATTTGGTACACTGAACCAAACTACATTAGCGAAATTGGATTTACAAAAAAAAACCAAACCCAAGCAAACTGCTTTCTTGAGGCTGCCAGTTCTGGTTTTATTCTTTATAGTATTTGTTAGCAAAGTGTTCATTTCCCAGCTGGTAGTGATAGTAATACTAATACAAATTGAAAATCTGCTGCCTTTGCTAGTGGCAAAGTTACAAATCACAGCCTCTTTTGGGGTTTGGTATTAATGAGGTTCTGTAAAGGACTACGTGTTTTCTTTCTAGAATTCCTACAGCAAGACTATTTGGGATAAAATTTAGTGTCTTGCTGCCATTGTTACATTTCTCAGGAAGATATAATTCACAGAAATGCTAGCCCCACTACGCTTGCTGTGCAGATACAACACTCGCATTTAGATGGTAGCACTAACACTTGCAGATCACGTGAAGTGCAGGGCATTTTGTCCTTAAAGAGTAAAGCGCATGAGTAGATGTTTTAGACATGTGACCACCCCTGAAGTGAATGGGATTGTTCTGCAGAAAACTGCTTTCTATGAATGTACTGGAGAGCTCAGCCTTGCCTTGGACGGAGCCCAGAATCTGCCACTCGCTCTGTATGGAAGACAGTGCATTCATGAACTGTATATTGCCTGGAAGCCACACTTCAGTCTCTTCTGCTTTTAGTGATTATTAGCCTCAGCTGTCCTGTCTGAATTACACCAGTGACTTCAAAGGGTGCTTCATACTCTCTCTTACTCTGCTTGTTTATCCTTTCCCTTGTGCTGTGCTGGAAGGCTGGGAAGTGGAACCCCTTGCATGTAAGTTTCTTTAAATTTTCTATGCTAAAGATTTTTCTGCTCAATGCTGGTGTTTGTGGTTTGTTGGTTTTTTTGGTTTTAATTTGTAGTTTCTGCTTGGTATTTTTATCCATTTTTTGTGTTTAAATATTTAAATGAAGGCTATCTTTAAAGGCCAGTTTTACTTTTTGCCTATGTGTTGCCCAATACTATTAAAACCCATTCTATCTGTAGCATCTGAGTGCTATTGTGTTACAAATTTTTATACACATCTGTATCAGCAGGAGCTGCTCTGTCACCATGCAGGAAGCATACTTCAGAACATAAGTCCTCTGCCTTGTAGTTCAAACAATTGCAGAGGAGAAAATCTAGATTGTACAAGAGCAGAGTTAGACACTCACAGTAAGACAGTGACCAGGTTAAAGAAGCGTATGTATGACATAGGCACTGAAGGTTCTTCTTACTTCCTCACTTGCAGCCCCATTCTTTTAATTTTTGCAGTAAAATAAGCAGTGTTTTCACAACACATTACAGATAATTTACAGTGGATCTTCATCCTAAGTTATTGTTTTATTTTTGTATGACTAGTATCCACCTTTGGAACAGCTCAGCTGATAAAGCAATTATCATTAAATTGTTAACTAATCCTGATCATCTGTTTCTTACTCACTGTTATGCTTCAGAGTTTTATAAATCTAGATATATATTCTCTAGACTTCTGTAGAAATTAGTCCAGTGTGCTCTTCTGGAGATAAGCAAAGAGAACCAAGTACTGCAAGATGTGTAGCATTCATGTCAGGATTTAGGTCCGAAGACCCTGGTGTGTTGCTGCGTTTTGAAAGTAAGGAGAGTGAATCACATATTTAACGGAAGTGGCTGCAGCATAAGATCTTTGGATTGTTTGGCTTTAGGGTAGGACCTTAGCAGAAAAATTGGCAGTGAATCTGATATATTAAGAGAATTTAAGATGACACAGAACTGTTCAATCATCCAGTCTGCCTTTGTGTTGATCACAGACACTCAGTACCCTGTACTCAACCCGTTCACTTCTATCTGATGAAAGTATGATTCTCAGTGTATTTATGTATTCCCACAGTTTTAATATTGAAGTCCCTTTATATTAATGTTAATTGAAGCTGTGTAACTATGAAATCAAATTTCTGACCTCCAGCTGAAATCTAGTTTCACATCATCAGAATTGCCGACTTGTTAGACATTGACATTAAAAACTACTTGTTAGGAGGGATATGGAACTGTGTGTTTCTTTTTTATCTGTTCCCAAGCAGAACAGTGTCAGTCAGGTGTTACGATATTGCAGGGATACATTGGGAGCCCCAGATCAAATGACTGTTTCTGAAGTGAGAGCTGGAGAGCAGAATTGTCATGAGGGCTTTCAGGAGTAGAAGAGGATTATCATAAGAAAAAAAATTACATGTGGTGGCCCTGTTCTTTAAGAGTTTTGATTTCTTTGGGAAAGAGACTTGCCATGTGTTCTGCCCCCTTTATGTCCATTTGCTGAAGTCAATTGTAACTGCCCAGTGTGGCAACCAGCACAGCATGGATGTGAACGAATTCTGAACGAATTAGAAGCTCAGCTATACAAACGGGTAGAAGCAGGCATGGAAAGCTGCATTTTTAATGCTGCATGTAGCTTAGACTTTAGGCCTCTTTCCATTGATGTTGGGTTTTTTTTTACTTTGTCTGATGCACTCTTAACAGGTTTTTCAAGATCAGGCTGGGTGAAAATCTGGGTGATGGTACCTGACTCCACAGCTGACCCTACTTTGAGCAGGACGTTGGGCACAGACTTCCTGAGGTCTCTTCTGGCCTGAGTTATCCTATAATCCTACACATTGGCAGTGCCACTGTTACCTCCCTGGGGAAAGCATTCATTAAAACCAGCTCAGGCAGAGCCTTTCCTTTGCAGGATTTTGTTTTCTGTTGCCCTGTTAGCTCTCCTTAACCTGCCTGTTATTGGCTTCCTCATGTTTTTGCTTGTTTTGGGTGCATCTGACTGAATGGGGTGAAGCAAAGTCACCTCAGGGATTCTAAAGAGATTCAGCTCTCAAACTGAGTGAACTTCCTCTGTGATCTTCAAAGAGCTCTACAAAGTTGGAGAATGGACTCAACCTAAGGAACAGCATTCACCCAGTAAATGGGTATAAACTGGCAGGAAAGAAGTCAACTGGAAATTAGCAGGAAATCCCTAGCAATTAAGGTCAGTCTGTTTCTGGAACAGATTTCCGGTGACACATTGGGCAGCCAGTTGAACTGCTCAAGTATGTTTGTGGTTCCTGTGATAGGGACTGAAGTGGACTATGTCCATGGTTTCCAAGTCCCCTTCTCACCACTTGCCTGAAGTCAGAGACTGCAGTTACCTGGTGCGGTGAGTTACGTTTCAACCAGTACTCCTGTCTTCTACTGCCACCTGTAGCACTGTTCCCTCGAGCCATACGGCCTCTAAAGAATGAGCTGGGAGGTGACAGGGAAGAAGCTGAGTTGAATATTTCGTATTATCAGGTCAAAAAGAAGCAACCTGAAGGAAGCACAAAAAATGAAGTTGTAGTAGAAGGGCAGAGAGACTGGGGCTAGATTGAACTTGGGAGCTTGGATTGTTGGTTACTTCAGCTTGTGCACAACCCTTTGCCTTGAGCACTTTGTCCTCACTTGGACATACTACCTTCAGTGCACCAGTGCAAAGTTCTTACCCTGCCTTTGCATATAGCATATGTGTATGCAGGCATCTCTGTTTGAAGTGAGTCCAGGCAGGCAAAGGCAGAGACGTGTGTCCAAGCTGAGATTGCCTTCAAAGCTCAAATTGAAAAATGTTTGAATTCCCTGATTCTCTTGAACAAGAAAGCTCAGTAGTTTCCTTGCAATGATCTACTGCTTACTTCTTTGTCAAATTCTACAGGTAGCAAAGGATGACCGAAGTGACATTGAGTCAAGCTCAGATGAGGAAGAAACAGTACCTCGTTCAAAGACCCCACACAGCGCTATCTCCACTAATGGGACCAGCGGTGCCAATGGGACAAACGGGTATCTCACTGGTGGCACTTGCTCAGAGGAGCATTAATCCTTGAGTTCAATCATGAGACACGAACAGAATGAACTGTTTGCTACTGGAAGTAAATTATAAGTTGTGAATGCATTTTTTTCATATATCTCAGCATCAGAAAAAATTAGGAGTATCAAAGCATTCTGATAGCGCACTGCCATATTTCCTGTTTGTGAATGAAGACAACACACCATTCTGTATACGTAGGCATGCTGTATGTGTATGTAACTGACAAAATGGGAGCAGTATTTTCACTAGTACTGTCTTTGAAATATTATTTATTTTGTATTCTTTTGGGAACTTCTGGACAAAAGGGAATATCCATTCTCAAACTTTATCTCTTGGGATTCTCAGTGGTGGAGAGCATTACGCTCAGATCTCTTCTGTCCATCCCTGTTGCTTTTGCCAAGTCTGCTATAAGTAATAGTTGCTTGATTTGTTACTTACAGTAAGATAGAACATAGCTTTATAGATTCTAGATCTGCTTCAGATATTTTTGCTATCTTTGTGTTTAAAAGTGCTGGTACTGAAATTGCCTATCAAATCACAGTGGCCGTTCCTCCAACATAAAGTTTTTAAACACTGAATTGATATATTAAATAGTAGGTAATGTGGTCAATCAGCAATTTGGGGAAAAAAACCTGTGGTAATTGTAGGAAGTTATTTTAGCATAATTTAAAATTCAATTTGGTGGTTAATTGCATTAGAGGTAGACTTGATTTGTTGTGCAAATACCCAAAAACATTGATGTTAGGATAAACTCATTCTCACTTTCTTAATTTTTTTTTCTTTTTATTTTTCCCTTACATTTTTTGATCTCTGCAGATACTGGTGTCTTTTTGCAGAGATTCCATGTTGAAAGTTGTTTGTTCAAGTGCACCATTGTGAATCCAGACCTCACTCCTGTAACTGTTCTTGCACGTTCAGATGGATGAGAGCAGGGGTGTAATGGAAAAAACAGCAGATGAAAAGCTCATTGCTTGCTTGGACACAGTTCAGTCTAGGTCTCATAATTATGCCACTTTCTTGGTAGGGTGAAGAGAGAGAAGTCAGAATGTCATACGTTATTAGGAATAGTTTATTTTAAATGCATGAAAATCTCAGCAAAATTCACTTAACGTAATTCACAGCAAACTTTGAACACTCAGCAGAATTTTATCACCTCTACAAATAAAATAAGGGTGTCTGTAAAACAATTTCGCACTCCTTTTTCATCCAAGATTTACAAACTGTGTCCCAAAGAAGACGAACATCCAAAATAAACATCTTTTTAAACATTATGTACACACTTCTTCCAGTCTAGATCAAAGTTTGGTGTAGGATGCTAAGGATCATGCAAATCTTGCAGGACGCTTTTCTGGGATTTGTGATAGCAGTGCCAAAAGTAGGTGAGGTTCTTGGGTAACAGACTATGCAACCTACTGTTCAACAGTATTGTGTATGTGCACACAGAACCAATGTGCTTACAGACCAAAGACTTGTATATATATATATTAAAAAAAAAAAAAAAGAAAAAAAAAAAAAGAAGGAAAAAATAAAAAAGGGGGGGTCAAATGAAAGAAATGTAAAATAAAAAAAAAAAAAAAAGTAAAAAAAAAAAAGGAAGGAAATAAATGTAACATTAATGTGTAATAATGTGTCTTCTATATACAAAGGGATTGGAGTGCTGTGTTCAGCTGGAACTCTAAGACAGGATATCTTTATGATTCCTTCCACCTATGCAAATAGCAAAATGCAGATGGTTTCTAATGCCATAAAACATGTTTAAAGGCTTTATTTTATACAGCTCCACTGAAGAAAGTTGTGTTCACACTTCTTTCTTTTGAAAAACCAAGATTTGTCACTCTTCAAAATTACTGAAACATCTACTATCCATAGAGACCTTATGTGTTTAGCAAAAAATGTACTAAAAGTAAGGGCAGAATGACATGAATGAAAAGCGTGCCTCCGCTTAGGTGGAGGTAAAGGTGAAAAAAAGCAGAGAAATTGTAAATCATGGGAGAAGAGGTGTCAGTTTTACTTCCCACAGAGCATCTTTTGAAAAAGCCAGGTAAACTTGTAATTCAACAGTCACATAGCATATATATCTGATTGAGCAAGGGAGTCTTATTCAAATCTCCTTCTCCCCGAAACATTCCTCTGCCTCTGTTTTTAATCATCTGTTTCCTGGGCCTCTGATTCCTTACAGTTATCTGCAGGGCAGGTTGTGCATGTGAAAACACACTGATTGTAATGGACAGTTTTTGAAGTGGCAGTCGTTTAGTAATTACTGTCAAGATGATACCAAGATTTTAAACCAAAACCATCCTGGGATATATTGGATGACCATTACAACTTCTGAAATATGACCAGCTAAGATGGTAATTGAGAGCAACAGTTTAAACACACCTCTTCCATGGTGTTGGTTACATACAACCTTCACTGGACCATTTCCCTTCTTCAAAGGTGGTTACAAAAATGGCATTCTGGCAAAATATTTTGTCTTACATGGGGACAGAATGTTGTTCTGAACTATCAACATAGACAACATACAATAGTACTATCATGTTGTTCACATCAGGGCAGAGAGCAGTTCCCAATTACAATCTGTGTGCAAGGGGCAGGAGACCTTTGGTCCCTGTTGGCCCTCCCCAGCTGTGCTCTATAGTGTTGATTCAGATGTGCAGTCAAGGCTACAACCCTTAAGATGCTTTACCATTGCTGGCTACGTATGCTTTTAATGTTTTCTCGCTGTTAAATACTGCAACTTGGATTGAAACTCTTCCTTTGAGGTTTAAATTCAGTTGCATTTATGAGGCACTAAAGTATATATACAGTTGCCACACTTCAGCTCACTCCTGGTCACAAACCTGGCTTTTCGGAGTCCATTCTTAGCAGTCTAGAATAAACTTAATACAGGTATGTCTGGAAAATAGGTGAGATGGGAGATTCAAACACATTTGGGGAAATGGGATGAGAGTAAGGAAGCACTAAGAACTTCACTAAACTTTAAAGCTATAGGGGTTTTTATGAATATTAAAATTCACACTTTTTTTTTTCTCCTGTCTTTAGTGGGAAGGACCAAGTGTTTTGGTGATCACAAGTGGCAGTGTGTTTCGATTCATTGCTTTAACCAATAGATGTCAAAACTTTGGCATCATCTTCCACTCTGCAGAGAGAATGTCATGCAACTATTTCCTTTTTCAGTTAAATTTGCTTATCTGCTGAAGAGCTTTGCAAGGTGCTTTTGGAGATCATCAAGTATTTAGAGGATAATTGCATATATTCCAGGCAATTAATTGAAATGACTCTCATGGTTCATAGTAAATGCAAGATCTTAAAAGGTTCTGTGTATTAGTACCTTTCGTAGAATTGTCATTTTAGTAATTTTAGAAATGAGGGGTTTTATCCTGTAACGTATTTGTCTTCAACTTCTATGCTCCCTTTTTATAGTACAGTACATGACACAGTGGTTGAGATGTTGAAGTAGAAAAATTAAGACATGATATGTAGAGTTTATTAGTAAATAGTAAGAATTTGTCGACTCTCCCTAGCCAGCCCAGAATATAGTAAAATAAGATTCAGGTCTCCCTTTGTTTAGCATTGCCCATATTGGTGTATTTTGTGTCAAAAAACAAATTGTGGGGTTTTAGTGGTTTGAGTTTTTAATTTGTTGTTGTTGTTGTTCTTCTTTTGTTTTTCATAAAAAACTAAAATTAAACATTGCAGAAAATGGTAGAAATATGTGATCAAACAACAAGGGTGGACATGGGAGTCTTTTGGATCTTATCAACGTTTAGTGCTAGTTCTAAAATACCAAAGTGTCCTGTGCTCTTTCCTTGTTGCCGTTTTGTAGTTTTTTCTATGTGTTATTTAATTATTCCAGCAGAATTGGAACAGGTGTAACAGCTTCACATGCTCCTGTCTTGGCCTGTGACCAATCTGTGTGGCCACCAATGCCAAATCCTTTTTCTGAGATCCAAGTAGGTGCACTAAAGCTTTGCTTACTGTGAAGTGATTCTTGTCTTAAATCTCTTTCAGGTGAAAATCACTTTCTGGTTCTGAACACGACACAAGGGCAAAAGTTGTTACCCTGCAGCAAATGTCAATGGTGATCATCACTGGTTGATTTAGACACCGTTGTGTGTTTTACAGAGTATTCTAGTAGGAAGCCTAATGCCTGTTTCATTCATGTTCTCATTACTGCAGCCTTCCATATTCTCAGAGAAATACGGGCTGCCACTGTTTTCTACAGTTGATGCTTTGGTATTTTTTAATCTCTTTGCTACAACTCATTTTTGTATGTCTCCTATTGTCTAATTCTTGTGACATTTATGTGAGAGGAGCTATCGAATACTTTTTACCCTTCCTGTAATGTAGACCCTATTAGGCCTAAGTGCACTGTTTTGCAAACTACAGCTGCCTTTAAACCATAAATCAAAACCAGTTTGTATTACTTGTTTTGACTGGTTTTGATTTGGAACAGAGACCTAATGGGAACTTCAGTAAGACAACCTTTCTCATTTATTTCTTTTCTTTTTAAAAAGCACTAGTGGAAGTCTGGAAAAGAGGTGTAGGTGTATAGCCTTCAAATTGTAAAGATTTCTGATTGTAGTTGCAATGAAAACACAGTGTTTGTGTTGTACAGAATTCTCAGTCTTTGAAATTGCTTTCAATTAAAAAACTGGAGGAAAAGCTATGAAATAATGTTTTGGAGCTGTGTCAATAATTACACATGTCAGACAGAAGATAAAAATTATTGTCTTACATGACCTAATATGATCTGTGCAATAAAACACATTTTCTAGCTTCTGTTGAGCTTCAGCTTCTTGCAGTCCTGGGGCTTAACTTTTATACTTGAGCTCTCATACCACACTGTGCATGTTGACTGCCTGTTGCAAGTCAGGGTGGGGCAGATGGCACTATTTCACCTGTGTTTTCATGACAATCCTGTGCTTGAGCAACTCTTTCAGAATGCAGTGACGTATAGGAATTCCACTGTCCCAGACACAGTGATGTGCTATCTAGAGGTCCTTTCA